TGGGACAGTAGATCTGGAAGCAAAGGCAGAGGCCACAGAAGTTGGATGTTCACAGCCTCTTGATTCAAGAACCAGCATTGTCTCAACCAAGTTGGACCTATAAGAATTATCTTGATGTAGTCTTGCAAATCAACTTAAGGATTGCCTGTGGGACGGAATAGGGAGATCAGTTCCCACCTCAGGAGAAAAACGTTGGCTAATGAGCCTGGACCGCGACTTGCTTGGGAGCAGAACTGATGGCATTTCTTCTTGTCTTTTTTTGCAAATAGGTCAATTGATGGAATACCACAGACCCGAAAGAAATTTTGAGCACACTGTTCTTCAGGGACCACTTCTGATTTGAAAAAATCTCCAAATGAGATGATTGGCCAGCTGGTTCTAACAACATAGCCAGTGCGCAGCAATGGGAGAAATGCCCTTCTTGATGCAAAAGTCCAAGTTTCATCCCTTCTTGACAAAGCTGACTGACCGTGCCCTTCTCTTGTCTGTTTTATTATTACATCACTGTTGTATTGTTGGTCTGGATGACCGTGGTATGGCAAGTCCATGAGGGAGAAAAGCACATTAAGCTTTGTGAATTGCCTGGAATTCAAGGACATTGACATGAAGGATCACTTTGTGTTCCAGCCATAATGCTTGGGTTCACAAACTCTCCCGGGATACATAGGTAAAAATCTGTCCCTTTAATGCTCTTTTTATTAAACTCTGAACACAAAGTACTCACTGGAATAAAAAATGAGGCATACGGGTGCAAGCCCAGGGAAACACAGGCCAGTGGTTTGAACACTGAATATCTCCTTGGAATGGCAGTGGAATTGAATCTACTGCATGGAGGCTACTTCAGCCCTAACACACAATCCTAACGCATCCTGCTGTAAGGAGAAGACAGAAAGATCCATGAAGCAGCAGATCTTCTGGCCATGTCTTCCATGCACTGTCACATACAGAGCTTCTCATAGAGCCGGGCTCCATGTCCACTATCCAGATGTCTCTTTGTATCACTGGTTCTGCTGTTAAGGGGACCTCCACTATTGCAGAGATTGGGGTTGTATTTGCGCCATAAAGTATCACAGACATTTGCAAACAAATAAGAAAAATCATTGCGCTTGTCAAAATTTGGGTTTACCAACCTTGAACGTGTGGCTCAGATATGTGCCTGCATGTTTTAACAGCTCTCTTTGGGGTGCAGTGCTTGTAGTATTAAAAAATGACCTTTTTTTTTGTGTGGTTAGGGTCAATTCCTGATTATTCTAACTCAAATATTTAGAATCAATACATTGTTTTTTCTCTGCATCCTATAACCAATCCTTATCACAGGTTCTGCCAAATCAGATTTCATTTTCTTATTTGTAGATTGTAATTAGTTCTCAATGGTGTCATTACAAATCTTAATACTTTCCACAGAGTGTGATGTTTACAGTGGGTCAGTCCTCCTGGAGACTATCATCAGTCCCACAGCTTTCAATTTTCACATAACCCTATAGTCAGCATTATCTGATTAATCTCAGCTGATGAGTGCCACAGCACAGTTTTAGGCCATCTCCAATGTTTAATAAAATTTATACAGAAATTGATTTTATCTTTTGCTTTTCAGAAATGGTCTTCCTTGGGAGAACGGTCTTTTATGGATACCTACTCTCAGAACTTCAAGAGCTAACTACTGACTTCTAGAACCCAACGAGGCAGTTCATGCAATAATGCCTCCTGTGATTTGACATATACTAGTACCTCATTGTAAAATATTTGTTGTGGCCTTGTCTATTAGTGTAACACAGTGTACCTCAAAATAATACCCTGTACCCCCATACTCACCACTTGTATATGGTTATGATCTATTTGCACAAAGCATGCTTTGTGGGGTATCATTGGAAAAGTTATGGTCTTTTGAACATCATTGTCCTGTTAAAATATCATCACTGTATATGAAGTCCTGAAATTTTGTTGTATGTTTGCTACTGAAAGGTGAGTCTGGGCAATGTCCACAGAATGGCTCTTCAGTGGCAACAAAGGGATGACCAACACCCAGCCAGGTGTAAAGCAACCATCACTGGCCAGTCACTAGCAGGGGAGTTGTTAACAGGAGATTTATAATTCACATGAAAGACAGTTGCTTGAGTACGTAAACCATGGAGCTGCCTGACCCCATGACGCAGCAATGACTTTTCCAGTAAAAAGGGTCAAGATATTAAAAGGGGGAACACAGGTCCCTGACCACCTCTCCTTCCCCACCTATTCTAAAGGCAACAAGATTATCAGGAAGAAAAAGAAACATTTGGACTAGGGGGAGTGGTCCTAACTGGCAAAGCTTTCCAGTTAGCAAAGACAGCTGTAGGCAATTGGGTAAGAGAAACCTGTTACTTCAAACTTGACTTAGCTTGATAAAGTTGAGGAATTAGACTGCAATTTTACCTTTTATTTCCTTTTGTAACCAATTCTATACCACTTATCACTTAAAATCTATTTTTCTGTGTTAATATACTTATTTTAATGTTTTGCCTAAGCCAGTGTGTTTTTTACTTAAGTTTGGGGAATCTATTCCGGTTACAAAGGCTGGTGCATATTCATATCCTTTGATGGAATGACAAACTAATTAATGAGCTTACTCTGATGAACGAGGTCTTGAGCAGTGTAAGACGCACATTCCTGGGGTGCCGTGCAAGGCTGGGGCTGAGGGATATGCAGATATTGCCTTATATGTAATTCAAGAGTGGCTGAGCATAGTGCTCTGGTAGTTGTCTGGGTGTGACTTGCATGCTAGAGGCGGGGGTGAGTGGGCCAAGTGGCAGCTCACACTGCAAAGCGGGGCATAGGACACACCAGACTGGAGAGTTAAGGGGGCACAATGATTCAATAGTCCAGATTGTACCCTGGGGCATCTCACAATTAGTATATGTATGTAAGAACTTGCAGGGCTAGAATCGGAGACCACGGGGGTTCTGGGCTGCTGACGCCTCCGCATTGCCATTAGAAGTAGGTGTGCTTAGGAGGACCCTGCAAAGCTAGGCTCAGCAGGAAGTACCATCCACAGGGCCTAAACAGAGGCCACTCCCAGCTCACTGACTGGCCAATACCAGTATATAAATTAGGAAGCCATGATAGGGAGCTGTCTGAGCAATAACGAGACTGCCTGCCTGCTTATTTCTGCTCCAGACCCTGTTTGCGACAGACCCTGGACTCCGGCCTCTGACCCTGATCTGTCCTTGACTTCGCTATTGGATTGTTGTCTGTAACCTGGCACCCAAACCCGACTTCCTGGTATCCTGACCTGGCTCCACTCTGACCTGCTAGTCCCTAACCCTGACTTCCCAGCTTTCTGATCTCGCTTGCCCTGCTATTGTCCCCAATCACAACTCAGCAGCTGACCGGGCACGCCAGACATCCACAGGCCAGTCCTGATGGTATGGTACTTCCTCTGGGCAGACTTCTGCAATATAGTTCCCAACTTTATTGGCATAAAACTGTAGGACTGTATACCAAGTGTCCTTTTGATTAACAGTTGTAAAAAGTACTTGTACCAAGCAAGCTTCTTCTAATCCCTACTAACAAACTTTAAAAACTAATGTAACATCTATGGCTAAGAGAAAAAAATCTAGCAAAATGCACATTTTTATTTATGATATTTCTTTCAATTACAGTATTTTCCACCCAAAAAAATTCACAACTAAATCCAGAGTTGCTGGCCTCTACATGTTTCAAACACACACAGATTCCCCAGACTGACAGGAAAAACACAACAAAAAACAGTTCACTGCTTACATTAGCCAGAATCATTGACTATAGTGTGTACACGTGTCAAGGCCGAATCCCCACTCTGTCTCTGAGTACGGAAGGTGGGAGCCCGCAAGGATTTAAAAAATTAATACTGGCCACTCCAGGCTTGTATTAAACTCCCAAGGTTACAGCTTTTCTCTGACCTTGGCTTGGTAAATGCTGCCACCACCCAAATGCAAAATACCCCCTTGAGCCCAGGAAGGAGCACTTGGGAATTCCTCCCTGTGAGGTACCCTCAAGCCCTTTCATCCCCCCTCCAGGGAAGAGCTGAGAAAGACAACAAAGGAAATTAGTTGTTGCTACCAGCTAATCAAATAACAGGCACAAACCTCTTAGGACACCAAAAATTCAATCCTGTTCTTAAAAAAGGTAAAATTTATTAAAAACAAAAAGAAACAATTACAAAAATTAAGCATCAAGATATCTCTCTTGAGGTTCAGCTTAAAGGTGACAAGCAAAACAAAAGCATCTGGGGTTAGCACAGAGGAGATCCACAAGCCAAAATAAAGAAATAAACCTAATCGAGTCTATTTAAACATGCCCTTTCCAATTATTTCTTCTAGGTATGGAAGATGAATTTTTATACCTGGTTCAAGCCTTACACAGCATTCCTGCTTTTATAGCATTGCTGCTCCGTATCTCCTTCTCGGAGAAGGACAGACAAAGGGAAAGTTTCTTTCCCAATTTAAAAAAGTTCTAGCCTTCCCATTGGCTCTTTTGGTTAGGTGCCCATTTTTTATTTATTTTTTTAAAACCCGGGGGACTTTTTAACCCTTTGCAGGTAAAGCAAGTAGAGAACAGCTACCAAGAAGGATTTTACAGCTAACTGGCTGGCTGGGTGTCCATCAAAGGGAGCTACCCCTCACCCCCTTCATTTATCACAACATGTATGTGTGTAAAGAAACTGAAATTACTTTCTTCCACCTCATAGATATCAGAGCTGAAAATTATAAAATAGGAAACTTAGTCCACTCCCTGCCAATGCAAGATTGTTGTACATTTGTTGTCTCTAGGGATGGGAAAACTTAAAAAAAAGTTTTTTGGATGAACAGAGTATCAATAGTATTTGGCCATGTACTGTATTTAACAGGGAAAAAAAATAGAGTGGCAGAATAACTGTAAACTTAAAGGAGAGGATATACCTACATGGAATTTCTGACCTTCTTCCACTCTAAAAGTTCCTAAATTCCTATCAAAGGTTACAATTTTACTTGCCTTTACATTCTTACCAATTTTTACGTCGTTAGTCAGACTGTGTTTTGTAAGACTCAGGAGCTCTTTGCCATCAATGTTATTCATCTTGAAAATCCCAACAAGGTCTTTTAAACCTTGTGCACAAAGCCAGACTGAGACCTCTTCCTCTGACCAGTTCTCAATAGACATCTTAGGTTCATCTTCCAGTCTACTTCCTTGGGAAACAAGTAGAAAAGGGAAATTTCAGATAAGAAATAAAAAAAACAGAACTGTTCTTGTGCATTGAAAGTCGCTCTTGGTATACCTTTGTAACATAGCTTTTATGAGCTAGAATGTTTATTTCCTGACTTATTTTGTCTATATTAATTAGCAAATAATTTTTTGTTCCTATTGCCAACTATGCTTGCAATTAACTTGTATTTTCTGTTTCTCATATTATTTGCGTACAAGTGTCACTGGCAAAGTCTGCGCTGCTCTGGGAATATTATTTGTCAGTTAAGTGCTGCCCAGAGAGTAAGAAAAAGGGATGCAAGAGATCACACTCCTTTTGTTTAGGTGTAAAATTTCCTTAAAGAAGGAATGGTACATTTAAAAGATTTTTTTCCCTTCTTTCTTTTCCAACATACAGGACATTTCCCAATAGTAAATAACAATTTTAAGGAAGGTCAAATGTTGGGCCTATATTTTTTAAGATTACACATTGAGCACATACTAGGGTAAAGCAGTCTGTATAGCATCTCCCAATAGGTTTACAACTATATTATACCAGAAGTATAAAAAGAGCGGCTTAAACAAATGCATGTACTTACCTGCACAATGTTGCTTTGGATCAAATTGCCAAATGTTCACAGTTTTATCCATTGAACCTGTTGCAAGTAATGGAATATCTGGTGCAAAGGCACAAGTTGTAACATATCTAGAAACAAAAGTAATTCAATAACTGAAATTTAAAATCACACATTAAATAATTTCCTTGGTTAATATAGGATTTGCTGATTTCACACCTGGTATGCTGAGTTAAAGTGTGCAGGATGCTCCCAGTTTTCTGCAAACAAAAAATATTGCATTTGTTAGGTCAAACAGAAATAACAATCACAGTTAATCATTTTTATTTATATAGCGATTTTTAATTCAAAGCACTTTACAAAGGTGGGGAAGCATAATGATTTCAATTCTGAATATGGTGTAATTGAGGCACGAAGAGGGTAAATAATGTGCCAAAAGTCACATAGCAAGTCAGCATCAGATCTGGGAATAAAACTCAAATCTCCTGACTTGCAGCCCCATGTTCAATCCAACAGACCACACAGCTGTCCCTCAATGTACCTGGCAGACAGAAATATAATATATTCAACTGACATTTCTAAAATTCCATATGGGCTGATTACTCATCCGGATAAAAAAACATTTCTTCCAAAATAGTAGAATTAAGAACGTATCAGAGTGAACTGGTAACCAAATCTCAAATCCAGGTGCAACCTTTAAATAAAAAAGCAGGGCCTGTAACATCACAAGGATTACGCAACTGTGGTTTGCATATGTGGCCACTAGATGCTGCCATTCACAAAAACAAATCTTAACGATTCCAATCCTTTAAATGTTGTTTAAGAGTCTCTCTTTAGTGTAGCACATGATTCCTTTGACAGACATTGTCAGAATTAAAAAAACAAGAAGTTATTCTAATTGACCTGTCAACCTTCCTGTTTTTCCTCTCATACTTCTGAACAGTCCCTCATGAGGGATATGTCCTTTATGTTAGATGTCTCCATCTGATCCAGACCTATTGTTCTTTCACTGTTATTACTAGAAAGTACATCAGAATTATTTCCCATAATGTTTAAACAAGAACCCGAGGTTACAAAAAATGTTCAGTCAAATAATTTCTTCCCTGTCACGTTCAGTATTAAACTTCATGCATTATTATTTTTCTGTATCCCTCATTTTGTTATTGTCTCATATTTGGATGCAGAAGGTTGAGAGGCTGTTTTTCCATATGCTTCTTAACTATGTTTCCATAAACTCAGAAGATTCTGAGAACATGAAAGCAGCAAAATAGTCTCATGGTTGTGCCATTGGTATTCATCTTTATTCAGATCTCACAATTTAGCTGTGAATTATCTCCCAATTAACATTATAGGACTAAACAGAACAGTGGAACAAATAATTTATTTCTTGAAGTAGTCAGCAATCATGCTATTTTTTTTAATAAAGTGGTAACTTAAAGAAAGTAATTAATCTTTTTAAACCTCACTATAAATCAATATTGACACTGATGAAGAAAAAGAAAATACAATCCATCCCAGCCTGGTTACCACAATTTATCCAGTGAGGCCTTGGTCAGCTGGGACATCTTGCAGAGGTCTCATGAGGCAAATGCCAAGAGCTCGTCTCTCTAAACCAAGTATGGCTCAATTTTGAACAGGCTATATGACTGGTCAGACACACCCTCAGACTCTGATTTGCTGGGAGGCTGATGCCTTCCTCATCACCTTAAGCTGCCGTCACAGTAAGCATAGAGTCCAAAGAGTATTTCAGCAGCAGTCAGCGCCCAGGGAAGGCCTGGCATGATCCAGCCCCAGAGGCACAGTGATTTGTCCATCATCACATAGGAAGTCTGTTTAAGAACCAGAAACAGAATTCACATCGCCCAGTTCTGTGACTTTAATGAGTGAATATGCTTCCTCTCCCATGTCTTGTAGTTCCCGGCAAGTTCAGGACCAGATCATGCTCTCAGTTACACCACTATAAATTGAGAGTAACCTCACTGATTTGTGAATTTACACTGGTGAGGAGGCAGGAAAAATATAGGGGCCAAATTATGCCTTCGGTGTCACCTTGCTCATATTCTGATTAGGATTCATTCTTTTAGGTCTGCGTGAGCACTTTAAACCAACTGACATTTGAATAGGTAAGGGACCATTACATTTCTATGTGAGACAAGAATTCCTAAATACATCTGATCTTAGGTGTTGACTATACACAAAAGTTGTACCACTTTAACTATATAGATAAAGTATGTTCATCCTTCACTCTCAGGAAAGCAGATTAATAATTTTAATATTGTAAAAGACAAAAGTTAAATACTATGTACAGGTGAATTAGGAAGGCTTTACCACAGTTTTCAGTGGTATTATTCCTACCGTCAAGCAATAAGTCTAAGCAATAAGATGTAAAAAGGATATGATATTAAAGAATGCTATTATTTCTTAACCATTCCCCTTGAATTGCCCATGTTTGTACATATAATATACTAAAAGATTCCTAAAAACTATTACTGATATAGGAAACTCCTATTTTTTTCCTGTGTCAATGACTGCAATCTTACATGCTTTTGATGATATGACGACACAAGACTTACAAATTTCATCCACTTGAGTGTGCAGATACATATGTATACAGTAGTGTGATTCTGTTGTACAGTACCAAGATAAGAAAAGAATAAAGTGTAGAAAAAGGTGGCACGAGAGAGAGAGAGACTGTACTTTGATATGGATGAACTCCTTCCTCACTCCTACTCCAAAAAAATACACACTAAAGATTTCAGGTCGTATTTGCTAGTCTTCTCAAGATAGAAGAGAATATTTCAGGTGAAGGGATATAAACTACAAAAAAAAAATCAGTAAACAATCTTGAATTATGCAATACTTACAGTGTCATGTATTATGATGGATTTGTCCACAGATCTTAAAAAAAAAAACACATTAAATTAAATGATGGCATGGAAAGAGATGAGAAAACAAACTATTATAATTAAAAACTATGGGACAATTTTTTTGTCCCACGAGGAAAGTCTAAACAAACAAGATTTGCTGGCAGCAACTATGCAGATGTTAGACGTAGCAATCCTCTTCACTGAAATCTAGAGGTAGGGTCTGAACATCTATACAGCAGCTTGAGGTATAGCCTAGAAGAAAGAGTAGTGGCTGAAGCCCACAGCTCCTCTCATTCCAATAGGTTTTTGAGGCAGTGCATCTGTGTAGTACATAAATCCACTGGCCATGCTACCACCACACCAATAGCTCATTCACATTTGTCCTCTCAATGCTCCAGTACAGGGAGTAGCTGCAAAGGTGGGCTCAACCATGTGTGGACACTGTGAAAACTGACTGAGTGGGCTCTCCTACCCAGGAATACTGGAACAATTTTTATAGTGGGGGTGCTGAGAGCCACCGAACCAAACTGTGAACCCTGGATATGATGGAAAGCGCCTCAAGTCAGGGGGTGCAGCGGCACTCCCAGCATCCTTAGTTCCAGCACCTGTGCTCCTATCTTCCAAGTATTTCTGCTACAATCTGGACCTTGAATATCTGCTAAGCAGACTAGAGGAAGTGGCTCAGTACAGAATGTAAAATACTGCATAGTTAAAATATCACTATTTTTAATAAGATAATCCAAATACGAAGTGTTACATGTTTATTTTCAGCAACTACAGTTCTTCCTGAAAGATGTATGGAGTACAGCTACGCAGACTGGATGCCAACCTCAAGAGATCAAAAATCATGAATCGGACCCTCAAAAATCATGCAACTGGCACAAAAAAATTGAGTTTTTTTTTTAAAAAATCATATCAACTCTTATGTTTTAGTCTGTCTTCTGACTTTCCCCTCTATTCCACTGTCAATGTGTGGGTGATAATTTCAGGCTGAAAAGTCAGTCTTTAAGGCATACAAAAATGACTGCCTCTCCCTGGCTACTCAGACGGGATGTCTAAACAGTAAAGAAAAACCTGCGCTGGCCTGTGCCAACCGACTTGTGCTCATGGGCTGGGTTGTGGGGCTGTTTCATTGCTGTGTCAATTTCCGGGCTTGGGCTGGAGTCTGAGCTCTGGGACGCTCCTGCCCCACGGAATCCTAAAGCCCAGGCTTCAGCCCGAAAATCGACACAGCAATGAAACAACCTCGCAGCCCAAGCCTCACAAGCCCAAGCAGCCTGGCACGGGCCAACCACAGGTTTTCTTTGCTGCGTAGACATGTCCAAAGAGACATGTCCTCACCCATAAGATAGGAGAACTGCCATCCATTTCCTATTACTATCGTGACCCAGCAGCACCACTTCTCTGCCTCCCATTGCCCTAGGGCTACTCTTCTGTCTGGTCCCCAGCACCACTACTCTGCCTCCCCAATCCCCTCCCACATTTGTGATCCAAAAAGAAAATACCAAAAAAGAGAATGAAAAGAACCTTTGGCTCCCCAAAACAAAAACAAAAAACATCACAAAGAAAAATGACAAAAAGTTATTGTCCTCTGGGATTTGTGTTATGACTTTAATTACTGGTTAATCTACAACATTCTATTTTTTTCTAAAAAGGTATTTTCTTAATTTAGAATTTTTTGGTAATAGAATGGAAATTAAAAGGGCGTATTGTTGGAATTGTTATTTCAAGTTGCTACTTTGACAGCTTACAAGAGGTTAAGTAATTATCTATTACAATGTGGAATAAAAACCATGCCTAATGTCATTGAAATATATAAAAACATAAATGATTATAAATATTCTACCTTACTTACCATTTTCTTCTTTAAAAAAAAAATCAATGTTAGAATACAGAAAATAAGGAAGTTGATCCCACCATGATACTGGTTACTTAATTTAGTATTACCAAAACATTAAAATTTCCCTTTCTTGTAAAACTACCCATAACTGTTTTCTCTCCCACCCTCACATTTTTATACAATACTGATACTATCAGAATGAACAATTACTACCTTTAGAATACACAGCATGTAACACAGTAACATGATTTCAGGGCATACCCACTTTTAGTGGTGGCCACTGTACTCCAAATCAGGATGTTCTCATTATTACAAGTAATAATATGAACCTGGTGTAGAATTAATAAGCCAACACCTTTTACCTGCAATAGTCAGAGTCAAACAGAGATTGTATTTCTACATCTAACTGAAATGGACTCTGGCTAGCACCTTAAGTTAATGCACAGTATTAATATTAATCACTAGGTTCAGCATTATTTGATTTAAAATATCTACATTTCATAAATATAATCTCATTTTAATAGGGTTTTGCACGCTGGGCTCCCATTAAGACTTACACCTACAAATGTCCATGTTTCAGTAATGAGATGAAAGCAGAACCTTAAGTCATAATTATATAGTACTTAAAAACACTCAAGTGATACTCTGGGTAGCCAGAGTCCATTGTCAGGAGGCTTCAACACCAATCTAGGATTTACTGCTAATTTCTGATTAAAGCATTAGTTAGAGATGTAAATAGGGTTTAAAATTCTATTGGTTAAACGGTTAACCATTAAGCAGTTCATATAGGCGGGGAACTATTGGCGCAGGGGACCACATTTTACACGGGGTCCCAGCTGCCAGCCCCGCGCCCAGGGTCCTGGCAGCTAGGATGCTGGGCGAGGGGCCAGCAGCGGAGTTTAATCATTAACCAAAACCAATAAGACTGATGCTAATCGGTTAACCAGTTAAACTTTTACATCCCTAATATTAGTGAAAGATTTCCTATCTGAAACATGGTACCGAGGGAGTCCTATATATCCTGAGAGCATTGTTGTTACTTTAATAGACAGCACTTTTCACTTATCACAACAGCATTAAAACTCTAAGCCTGTGTCACTGCCACAAAACAACTCCCCAGGAGTGAATTTTTTTACCCATTGTTGACATGGAGTGGTAAATTCCATCCATCTCCTGTGCTATTATAGAAAGAATATGGAGGGCATTTGAATTTTTCCTCCGATATATTAAAAAAAACCCTAATATCAATAATAAGATGTTCACATACATAAGGGAATACTCCTTAAACACCAGAAAAATCCACCCTCTACAAACATATTAAGGTGAACAGTAAAAGAGAAATATATTTATAAAGTATTTTTTTTAAACAGTAGGTAGAGCTTAAGTAGTGTTGGTTCAATATTCACATGGCATCAGAAAATATGCCTGAAATATTTACAAGCATATATTTTTGCAATTTAAAAAAATGTATTTTTGCATGGAACACTAGCATTTGTACATACAAACTGTGGATTTGTACATGTATCTACAAGTTTTATACATATATAATAAATCTGAGTTTTTGTGATGTGCCCACAAATATTATGGGTAAATTTTTGGAAAAGTACAGAAATCTGGCATCAAAAATAAACACTTTGCATATGTTCCTTCTCTCCCCTCCCCCCCCAAAAAGAGAGTGAATGCCTTTGGGTAGTTAAATGTTATACATCTTATTCCAACAGATTCTAGAACATCATTAAAATACATATATCACTTTCAAACTTTGTGTGCATGTGTAGGTATATAAATTTTACAAAGTCAATATTTTAAAACAGTGATTTTTTTTCAAGTTCTAGGCCACTGTTTATATTATCTTCATGTAATAATGTAGATAAGTGTCCAGAAAAGCTTTTCATACACCAAAGCTGAAATTGAGTTCTCCCCCACTCCAACACTCTCATCCTATTCCTTAGTAATTTTTCAATTAACTGAGAATTGACTTCAGTGCTTAAAAACAAAAACAACTCAATTTCCACTTCAGAAGGGGGAGATAAATATTTACCTAAGCACAGCCATCTACTGTAAAATTTAAACAACTAAAATAAAGTGAAACTGCTTACCCTGAGACTAACATCTGCCCATCATAGGAAAAAGCACAAGCCAGGACTGGGGCAGAGTGTCCATTCAATGTGCATTCATATTTTAATTCACAACCTACAAACACAATTAGCAAAAAGTAGAACATGATTTTTCTAAACTTGTTAACCAATCATTTTCCTTTAAAAATGTTTAGATTTATTACTTTAAAAGGACTGAAAACTTGAGAGCTTGATATAGTGTAATCAAGTGAGGCCAGCTGTCAATAGTATAAAAGACAGCAGTGATTAGTGGGGCATAGGGACACCCTCCAACCACACCCTCTGTTCTTTGGCCAGGCCCCTTGCGCCATAGTGTGTAAGAAGGGTTGACACAGAAGCAGTTATTATGGCTCTACTCTGCTTAGAATTTCTGGATAAACTGGCTTTGTGGCTGTTTTGTGCCACCAAAGCAGGCTCATGGATGTGGCCTCATACCATAATACATGCACAGAAGGGGGTAATTAGGATTGCATGGGCAACCTTAACTTTAGTATTTCCTCACTTCTGCTGCTTCACTTTGAAATCTTAACATTCTTTTAAAATAGGTTTTTGTATGGAATATATAATTATATTCCTATACAGTTAAATATCTACACATACATACAGCCCACATATGTACAGAACACAAAGAAAAGAAGCGGGAAGGTTTTTCCCCCCCCTTTATTGAAAATGGTTTTGGAGCTCTCAGTCCCACTTCTGCTGGACTGGTACCTAAATCACAAAGCCACCCCCCATAGCAGAAATATTTGTTGCAGTTTTAGCAGATGTCATGGATTTAATGGACAAATGAGTCACTCCTAGTTATGGCCAACTTAGCTCAGGACTGGGGTAATTTTAATACCATCACTGTCTGCACTGTACCTCTTTGGGAAGGATAAAGAGAGGACTCTGGTCTCCAAGCATGTCAACCGAGCACCTTTCAACAGTTCTACACTCAAACAAATTATTGGTAGCGTCCAACAAATAAAAAATACTCTTGTATAATAAAATGCGTAACATAATAATGTACCAACTATTCTGCGGATTTGTAACATACTGTAACTGATTACTGTACGTCAGTTAAAAACTTTAATAAATAAAGAAGTTAAGCAAAGCTTGATCCTGCAAAGTGCGGAGCCCTCTGACTCCACTCTAGTGAAGCACTTAAGCAGGAGCTTAACTTTAAAAGCATGTGATTAGTCTCACTAACTTTGTATCTATAACCTTGATTGATAGGAGCTTATTAGCACTAAATTGTAACTTATTGCTATACATACCTAAGAGATCAGCAAGTGAAATAAGCCAAAGCTTGATCTGGTTATCCTGACCACAAGATGCCATTCGGAAGTATCTGGATCCTTGTTCTCCACCTGATAAAATGAAAATGTTTTAAAGGGGATCAGAAGCACTGAAAAGAATGACAGACCAGTAAGCTAGGTTACAATTCTAACATTTAAATTTGAAAATTAGCTTCCACATTCCTAATACCTTTTTAAAGTGTTGATAAAATAATTATACCAATGAATGGTATGATTTTGCAATCAAGTTAAATTGTATAGCAGATATCACATTCAAATGTTGTTTCATGAATAGTACAGGTGGAAGAAATCCAAAACTGAGCAGTTGTGACAATAAAAATGAGATAGCAGTCAAAGCTAAAGACTTACCACCAGCCATACAAGATACTTTAATTTCTCCCTGAGGGCTCCCCTCTCCACCTCCCATGCTGAGTGGAGCTACAGTGCAGGAAAACATCTGGCCCATTATTTAAAGTTTTTTAAAAAGTCTGTTTTGTGGTGTTATGACAACAAAAAAGAGTGGCTTCGATGTGTATTTGACCTGATTTATTTGTAAAGGATTTAACAGCCCTACAGAAAATAAATAAATAAATAAATCAATAAATCAATAAATAAATAAATATATAAAAAAACCCAAAATCGCGAAACAGGAAACTGCAATGGTTTTATGAACATTTTTATTTTCAAGGATTTTTTAAAACATATTAATATATATTATTTCATTTAGAGTAGACCCAAATTTGTAATTCACACACTAGAAACAATTTCAGTTCCAATTTTACAGCAAAGACTTAAGTGTAGAATGCTGTTGCTAGATCCCTTTTCTAAGACTTAGTAACTTTTACAATACATGCTACATATAAACTAAAAAATTATATTGTTATAAGATAAATACTATGAGGTATAATCATAATTAAATCTAAAATACACTCATCAAATAAATGACTAAAGCACCTTTGGCAATGCATTTTCTAGAATGGTCAGGCTAAACTCTCTCATACAGAGAGATTAGGGCACTGGACCAAATGGCCGTTTGAGGGCCCTTTCAGTTGTACACTTCTATGATAATCTAAGTAAAATATCTACCTAAGAAGGATACCATATAACAAGGGGACCATGAAGAGCATGGTCCTTAAAGATAGAAATTTCGATTTTCAAATTAAATGTACAGTGAATACAAAGAAGTAAAAACATTAAACAAATCTTGCATTTTTTCTAGTGTGCTTATTCACAAAATTCAGTAATTCACAAAGGGCCTACCAGTCAGTAGTACAAATTAGCAAGGTTCTGTTGTATTTGAAAAAGGTGATTTATATGGAAGTCTAGAAACAGATTCTACTGCCAATTTACTGTGATGATATAATTTTGTGATGAACCTAGCAATACAAAACTGTGGAGTTGTTTTTTGTTTTGCAAAAGATACTCTGTACATAGTTGCCAATCTTGTTTTCCTCAGTTTTTGTTTTTCCTTCTTCCTACTACTCAAATTATTGACTACTTGAAGATGGGTTGATCAAAATGGACAATAAAGGTTGTTTCTTTTTTGTGTTGGATGAAGCGAGAGAGCCTTTAAACGTGGTTGTATGCATGTTCTCTCCAGGTCAGCAGTTCTCAAACTTTAAAAACTAATGTACACATGTAAAATTCAAGAGTACTTCACATATTTTCATAACTATAATCAGTTTAGTTATAATGTGTTCATATTCTGATAAATGAACCCATGTACCACCTGACTGCAAAACCAGTACCAGTTTGAGAAAAGCTGCTCTCTGAGAGACAATTAAAACAGTGAACATGAAAGAAGTTTGCCCATTTAAAATACAATGCCAATCAGTGCATTCCATTTCTGAGTATTCGAAGATTTTGAGTAGTGTGTGAGGCAATTGTAACAGTATGATAAAATTGCTCCTAAATACTAAGAAGTGATCAGCACTAACTGAGGGCTAGGTAGCAAATTTGTTTTAAATACTGTATATAACTGCTATTCTGTACATTAAAAAATAATGGGCCAAATTCATCACTAGTGTTTGAATAGGTAACTTCAACAACATAAGTGGGAGCTATATCTGAGGATGGAACTCTGCCTTTAGCTAGTTAATTTGTTTACTGAAGGACCTGAATGCAGGTTGAGAAATCTAAAAAAAAGGTCACGCTCCTTTACTGACTGTGAAAATACATCTCTCCTTGGCAACTGTTTTCTTGATTTGTGTTATTTTAATCTTCTAAAACTTTGTGCCTCATTTAAGATTATGTCTCGCTTTTTCATTAATTTTAATTTTGTATAAATCTTTCACACATAATTTGTCATAAACCTTGACATTTCAAAACCAATCTGTATGCAATGGGTTTTGGGAGTAAAAACCTACATTTGAAAATCCAAAAACTCAAGAGAAGGAAATTTGAAGCATATGTTTATAACTTTTAAATGGTACCGAGCCTAAGGGCTTTCTCCTGCCCTTATGCAAGCCTTTTTTAATTCAGATTTTCATGTGATAGTAATTAAAAATGGCACTTTAACTGGATAGTTAATGATGCAATGATAGTATGCATGTCTCCAAAATTTGGTCTGTTTTCCCAGGAGAACTGGGTACAGCTCTGGGGAGGCGTGAAGGAGTGGTACCTGTGTATACGTATAAGACAGTGGAGAATGTAGAAAAATCAGAGAAGTGGCCCCAGATGACCAAATTACATGTATTCTTTTGCCCAACTTGTTATACATTTTGGAAAAACTAGGTGAAAGTTTCTCCTATGGAGCCTTAATATGTATTCCCATGACCTACACAGCAGCTAAACTCCTGTTCTGAATTAAACCCAACTCAGCTCAATCAGCTTCAACAGTTATGTGGGGAAGTAAGTCAGAGCAAAATTTAATCCTAGTTCTCCATAATCCTGGAAGCATTTCTAGGATTATCTGTCTCACAGAAATAAAGATATTCTTGACCAGTTCTCATTAGAACTGGGTCCAAATCACAACCTCAGATCCAAAATCCATGAACGGTGCGTAAACTCAGATGCAGTTTTGAACTTTGCAGCTTTCCTCTATCTGTACAATGGGCTGACCCAAAGCTTTGGATCCAAACATCTCGGAATTAGAAACAAGTTTTGCATAGGATCTGATCTTTGCAGTTTGGGCCTAGGATTTTTCCCCTATTAGGTACAATCAGACAATGGGCCAGAACCTCAATTTGGTTTATGGCCCCTTTACTCCACTTAGATGGCACAAATGGGTTGCAAATATCCAGCAGAGAATTCTCCCATTGATGGGTATTCCCTGATTGGTGTTGCAGTTGGGTCTTGCTACCTCCATCCTCTTTGCCACAGTTATCCTCCATCAATACAGAATCTTTTAAGTGCCTTGTGACAGAGGCACAATACATTGCTACCCACCAGATGTTCTAAGCATGGTCAGGACCAGGGCCAGCCCTGGGAATCACAAACACGGATCTGATTCCTCCCCCCTCAATCTCCCATGCTGTGTGAAGATACTGTGCAGGAAAGAATCTGCCAATTATTGTAACCATTATTGTTTCTGTCTCTTCTGTGCCTTACTAACATCCAAGGGCTCGAACCTGCAATGTGTTAAGTACTCTGGCTCTGATCCAGCAAAGAATGTGCTTAAGTCATTTGCTGGATTGGGGCCAGAGCATACTTTGAAGGCTCAAACCCTAAAGCAGGGGCAGTTATTGTGGAGGGGAGAAACATTCATAATCTGTTTTAAAAAGAGTACATAATGGACAGTGGCCTGCCCTCCCCGAATATCAAGAAATCCAGTCAGGGAAACACCACGTCAGAAACCCAATAACTGTGCAAACTACAATTGCTGATGTGGGGAAGGGAGTGGTCACCATCGCATTTCCCTCAATGGCAGTCATAGACAAGTGTCTTATACAATGCTTGCAGAAGCCTTATCTTCACTAGGTAAAAAAGGTGTGTTCTTTACCTTGTGTTAGCTAACATGAGTTAAGTCCAAGTAAGCAAAAGGCAGGTTGAGTGATTTTAGGCTCCCCCTCGGTCTTTAACTCGAAATGCTAATTTGTGTTAATGTTACAAACTGCCTTTTCTTCACTAGAATTTTACCTCATGTTAGCTAACATGTTAAGAACACATCTCTTTTCCTAGATTAAGTCTTCACTGCCAAAACAGGTGTGGGGTTTTTGTTTTGTTTACAGTAATATAACTAATATAGATTAGCTACCATCTAAAAAAACCGCATTTGGGGGCAGTGAAGACATAGTCCCAGCAAAGACAAGGCCATAGTAAACTCTGACTTGAGGTGAAGGGGTGGCCTACAATTTTATATGAAGTCACAGCCTTATAAAAGAGATATTAAGTTTTGTTTGTCAAGCACTTTGGGATTCCCTGGAATATGAAAGAAGTTGTGAAAACCAACTCTATTCTATCAAATCCCCAGGGAAATAACACCTTTATTTTCCATCAATACATTATAACAAAACGAAAGCACTTAAAATTAGAATGTAGAGAACGAATTATGCACTCTTTTCATTTTACAGATCAGTAACAACATTGCTACTAACTCTGTTTTTCTAGTAGTTTTTGGCCTGCTAAACCCAGGGTTGTGAGTTCAATCCTGGAGGGGGCCATTTAGGGATTTGGGGACTGGTCCTGCTTTGAGAAGGGGGTTGGACTAGATGACCTCCTGAGGTCCCTTCCAAGCCTAATAATCTATGATTCTATGATTTGCAGTATTTCCTTTTTCACTACTGAGATTTTTAAAGCTAGGATGGTTGACTTTAAATAGAAACGAAAACATACAGTTCTCTATCCTGCAATTGCAGCTTAACCACACAATCCTTACCATGATGAGAAGCAAGAGCTATTTATAAAGTGGATTCAATTCTAAGAAGCCAATTAGTAAACAACCACAGGGAAGTCAGATGATTTGATGTACTTGGCAGGATGGAAACAGAAGAATGGCTTTTAATAGTTTTCCCAAATGAGAAGAAAACCATCTACAGTGCATCACTGTCAGAATGAAAACAAAGAAACTATAATGATAACATGTATGTCACAGAAATAGACGACTCAGAAAAAAATCAAAATGAAATCTATATCAACAGAAATAAAGATTCAACAAGATTCTAGAGGAGAAAAGAGAAGTGCTGAATTGTAGAAATCCTAAACCACAATGTAAGCTATTAAACCATATATTTTATACACTAGCTTGTGGAAAAAACAACCTCCCACTTAACACAGCTGATTAAATATAACAAAAGAAGTGGAATTTGTCAAATCAAACCTTATTTTTTCCAGAGCAATTAAAACCTATATCTTCTGGGAAAAGAAGTGTTAAGATTCTAATTAACCATAACTAAATCCAACTTAAAGAAAATAGCAGAGTCATCTGTTATGAATAGCCTAATGCGTAAAGAATAATCAGAAACTTTGGTTTCATAGGTTGCTCTTTGAATTAGGAAGGTGAAGAAACTCAGTTTAAAAAAAGATTTTCTTTTCATTATACTGGTAAGCACTGCTTTTATGAGCTTTGTTACCTTTTAAAGGCTGCCAGTAATACTGAAAGTTTCAACTATTAGCAATAAAACTGAGAAAAAAATATAAGATTCCAATAACATTTCATTTAAAAAAAATTACAATCAGTTTTCAAACTACACCATTGGGATCAGACAAAAAAAACCAGTCTGTACTCTCATGCAGGGAAATGCACATTTTCTTGTCCATTTCTCCCTTACAAGACAGAACTAACAGGAGGTAGCATTACTGGTGGCACAATTTTTAAATCTACAAAGTACACCTCTACCTCGATATAACGCTGTCCTCGGGAGCCAAAAAATCTTACTGCGTTATAGGTGAAACCTCGTTATATTGAACTTGCTTTGATCCACCGGAGTGCGCAGCCCCGCCCCCCCAGAGCACTGCTTTACCGCGTTATATCCGAATTTGTGTTACATCGGGTTGCGTTATATCGAGGTAGCGGTGTAATCTTTGGAATATTTTCTTTCTAAAACTATGATCCACTTTAGAGGAAAGGAAATCACAGGAGCAAGGGTGTAATGCTTAGTTCATAACTGAATTTTCTAGGAGTCTTTCCCCTGTTTAGAGATTTTATTTAAACATCACACCTCCTTCCTGTATCATGACAGAATAATTCAGTGCTGTCCCTCACAACTTGGAAATTATTCCCCTTATTACTGCGCACTTTTCAGTGGATACACACTTGACAGATTTGGTATTATCGATCGCTAACTTTTCATTCAGTAGCAGATGATCACTTTCTGCTTTCTCAACTTTTCCCTGTCTTTTTGCAGCAGATGATAGAGCTTTCTGTAATATATTATCCTTAAGTGTAACCAATGCTGCTTGGTAGTAAGAAACATGCTTACTATATAGAATTAGGATTCTTTGGCATTTTTAAAAATTCCAATTGATACTTCACTAAAACAGTGCCTGGCATATTTGTGAACTTTGAAAACAGAACTTTATTTACCACTTCATGAAAGATCACAAAAAAAAACTATGAACCTTGGCTTCATAAACAGATCTAGAAAGCAGAAATAAAAAATGATGAGATTATTAAGGCAGGTTACATGCTAATAAATTATTGCCACTGAAACTAAGGCTCCTGTTTCATGCTTTGGCCTCCCACAAAATCAAGTTATTATTTATGGGGTTTTCTAGCTTTTTATGAAATATGTTAGCCTTTCAACCTGCCAGACACTTTTGAACTTAAGGGCTTCACACCTTTGTCATTCTTCTGGATTCTCCTTCATTTCTATTTGTGCATTTCTGCTAACCTTCCAAATGTGAACGGAATGAAAATCAGTGTAGTGTTGTCTTTCTCAGGGCTGGACCAAGGCCCAGGCAATGTAGGCCCATGCCCAGGGCAACAGCTCCTGCAATTATCTCAGCATCTCAGATTTCTTTCTTTTTTTTTTTTAAAGTTTCTAGCCCCCTTGGTTGTGAGCAAAAGATTGAAAATATGAACACAGCATAATAGATGTAGTGGTGTCTGCCTAAATCTGTAGATAGCCTGGCATAATAGCACTAAGAAGTTTGAATGGCTCCACATATTTCAATGGGGTGTTAACTATAGGACTCGTTATGCCACCAACAATATCCCAGTAAAGAAATGTGTGTGTGTGGCAGGAGTAGTTGTCTTAGCCTATTCATCACCCCAATGGATGCATCCTGGCTGCAGGAATAAGCACGGTGAGGACGGGCCTGCCTGCTGCCACCTCTGCCGCTCTTTAAATGGAGATGAGGACCACTGTCACTTCAAGTAGAGAGTCGGGCCACAGTGGCCGCCACATTGTATTGTGTCTATGGCCCTGGAATGACTTAATCCAGTTCTGCTCTGACTCTGCAGACAGACATTTCCAAACGCCTCTTCTGCAGCTCATGGTTTTGCCAAGCAACAGCAGTCACAGTAGCTAGGAAGGTAACGGAGGGGTAGAATAGCAGAGACGTTCCCCTTTTGACAGTGCAGTCTCTAGGGAATAGGAAGGATAGCAAAGATTCTCTTCCCTCAGAGCAGCCAGGAGACTCTGGCCCTGATTCAAGAAAATAATAAATGGGAAATCAATGCAACTTAAGCATCTGATTAAGTGCTTTCTTCAATCAGGGCCTCTGTAGGGTAGAGGACACAGAAAAGGCCATCTTCCCCACCCTTCCTCTGCAGCTAGGGGGCAGAGGACCTTCAAATGTATTAGACACCTGCTAACTAGAAGCTTATATGAAAGAGGGAACCCCCTATGTGGGTTCAAGGAGAATATTCTGGTTCAAAATTCCAGCACTCTGCCCAAACTATCATACCTACCTATGCTTGGCAGGTTTCATTATCCAGCTAGTGGAGGTCTATTAATATGGACCCTAACTTAATATGGACCCAACTTCCACATCAGCAACTGAATGATTTTATAAATATGCTGGACTGCTTATTGGCTGAGCTTGCAAAGGCCTTACACTCAATTTGACAGCATTTTTCTGTTAGCCTGTCAGTATATCCATCTGTCTGTAACATGATTATCTTTGAATGCCCCATCCAATCAATTCCAAAGTTTCAGATAATGTTCTAGGCATTAATGACCTGAACCCTACTGATTTTGGGGAAATTTGGAAAACTAAAATGGGGGGCACATGAAGCCCCTCTTGAGCACAGCTACAGACTCAAGCACCTTTACAACTGTCTATAGATCAAACAACTGGTTGATGGCACCCATTAATGCCTTCCAGCATAACAATATCCATCTCATCTCTGCTCATCCTCCCAATAGAGTTGAACATGTTAGCTTGTGAATGAATTCACTCCCAGACAGAAAGAAGAATAGTGGGAAAGGAGACTGTATGGGGTGCCATGGGAGAAAGGGGCATGCACACAACCCTTGGCATGCAGGGGTGGGGGAAATGGGGCACACAGTCTTTGGCATGGGGGTGAGGGGGAAGTAGGAGGCAGAGCCCTTGGAATGGTGATGAAGAGGAAAATGGGGGAAAGGAAGTAATGAGGATTCAGAGTCCCTGCCATGGGGGAGAAGAGGAGAGACTGCTATGGGGGAGAGGGGGAGGAATCGGGTCCATATTAATAGACCTCCACACAAAACCCCTGCCATTGAGAAGGGGAATGGGGGAGCCTGGCATGGGAGGAGGGGGATCCACAGAGCCCCTGCCATGAGGGGGGGAGGAGGTGAGAGTGGGAGGAAGAGGGAATGAAGCACACAGAACCCTGATGGGGACAGATTGTGGGTACCTGGTATGGCGGGGCACATACAGCCTCTGATATGGGGAGCAAGGAAGGCAGACAGATCCCCTACCATGGAGGAGAATGGAGGACATGAGGGGGTAGTGAGAACAGCGGTGTACACAGAACCACTGGTATGGAAGGTGAGAATGTGGGACCCTGCTATGGGAAGATGAGGGACACACACAACCCCTAGCAGGAGAGAATCTGGGGGCAGTTGCAGGAAATTCCTAAAAAAAAAGGGGGATGGGAGGGTGGCACACAGGGAGCTTGTGTGGGTGTGCAGGAAACAGAGGAATTCAAAGAACCCCTGGTGTGTGCAATAAGCTTGGTCTACACAAGCTATGAAGTGTTCAACCACCTACTTAGATTCCTAGAACATTTCTGCATCATCAACTCCAGCACAAGGGCAAATGGGGGGCACCGGGAGTAGTCTGAAACATCAAGAACACTTTCAGTTGCTATTCAGTCCTGAGCACTGATGATAAAAAAGTTATGAATAAAAGCAAGAGCTGGAGGAAAAAATAATATGAAAAAGGAATTATTTAAAATATTAAAGTAACTAACCAGAAACTGCCTGTGAAGAAAAATCACAGCAGGTGACACCAAGATCATGTCCTTTTTCATTATACAAGCACCTCATTTTATCATCCCAAATGGTTAAATCTCCACATGATGATCCAGTGACAAAGAGATTTCCATTAGGAGAAAACGCACATGCCACCAAGGAACCATCCTTAACACTCCCAGATCTGAAAAGCAAGAGAATAAAGGACTGAGTTTAGGGAATGTAATACTCTGAAATTTTGATCTCTAACTGCCATATGATATAGAAAAAATAGTGAAAAACTGAACTGTTTCTAAATATGGAGCTTAAAAAGCATAATAAAAAGGGACAAAAGATGACAAACTGTGCAAACAGATGTGAAATAAGCACATATATAACATATGCACAGGGATTTGCTCTCTGACCACAGAAGGAGAATGGGAGATGTTACCCCAAGGCAATATTCTGATTCAGTAATAAAATGAGCCCTGAACTAAAGCCCACCCTCATGGATTTAGTATTCCCAAGAGCAGGATACTGAGCAAATTACAACTCAGACATTTATCTAAATCAAAGATTAACATGCAACCATGACAACAGAGACTTAAATATACATAAACAGAAAATCACATTTATGAACTAGGTAAGTTTCAAATCGGTCAGATCTGGGTTTTACTCCCCCAAAAACTCAAGCATAGATCCATATTATGTGTCTAGGAGACTAATATTTTCCAGTTTAGGACATGGGGCTATTTCTGAACAACAGAAATACAAGAAGAAAATGTTATCTGAAAGAACTGATTTCTATTTTTTTAATCTCTTTTAAAGAGTCAGTCTGAAGGTTTTTTAAATTATTCTCAGAGGTTTTGTATGCCAAGTTTTAGTTAGGAATTAACTTGTACAACTCGCTTAAAAAAAAAAATCTCTCTATAAACTCCTATTTGGCTAGTGGATATGCAGGTTTGTTTTGCCTTTTTTCTAATGTCCAGCCATTAGCTCACATTTAATTAGCAGAGTGTCCCATCCACTGGCTGCATTCAGTGGGCCTACCTGATCCAAAAGCCCAATGAAGTCAACGGAAAGTCTCCAATTGGCTTCAATGCTCCCTAGATCAGGCTCCAAGTGGGAAAACGGTGGACTACAAGCAACAATTCTATCCCATGAGACAAAATTCAGTTTATCCATCTATTCTGTATGGATTATTGTATTGTGGGATAGTTGGTGGTTTTCTTTTGTGGATAGCAGTTTTAGTTATTTTCAGAAGTACCAAGAGTTAGGCGTGTCTTGTGGTTTTACAAATATAAATTAATCAAGGAAATGGTGCTTCCCTCTCTAAACACAGACATAAGAGCTACACTAAGCTATTTTTACCTGGAAACAACACTTTTTCCATAGTATCAGAGAGGTAGCCGACGAAGTGGGTATTCACCCACGAAAGCTTATGCTCCAATACAGCTGTTAGTTTATAAGGTGCCACAGGACTCTTTGTCACTTTTTCCATATTATATCCTAACCATAGCATCATGAATACTAACACAAATACTTTTTTTCCCCACCTCTTTACAACTGCCATTCACTTTAAGTAATTATTAATTAAGTAAGTAATTGGCCTCTCAGAGTTGGTAAGACAACTCCCACCTTTTCATGCTCTCTGTATGTGTATATATATATCTCCTCAATATATGTTCCATTCTATGCATCCGAAGAAGTGAGCTGTAGCCCACGAAAGCTTATGCTCAAATAAATTTGTTAGTCTCTAAGGTGCCACAAGTACTCCTGTTCTTTTTGCAGATACAGACTAACACGGCTGCTACTCTGAAATTTGTCCTTGAAGAATACCGTATATGGTGGCTCCGAGGTCAGAGCTTTCAACTCTGACACTCGTCTGGCCAACGTAATTGCTACAAGGAAGACAACTTTCCACGACAGGTAGGAGAGGGGACAAGAGTCCATAGGCTTGAAGAGCAGGCCTATAAGCCTGGCAAGGACCAGATTGAGGTCCCATTAAGGGACCGTGTTCCGAACCGGTGGGAAGAGCCTCTCGAGGTCCTTTAGGAACCTGACCGACATTTCATGCGAGAACACTGATTTCCCCTGTACCCGTGGGTGAAAAGCCGAGATGGCCGCTGGATGCACCTTAATAGAAGACAGGGCTAGGCCCTGGTTCTTTAGGTGGAACAGGTAGACTAGGATAGACTGCAAGGGTGAATGCATCGGGGAGATGCTCCATCCCGATGCCCAGTGGGAGAACCTCGTCCACTTCGCCAGATAAGTCGCTGTAGTGGAAGCCTTTCTACTCTCCAGGAGGACCTGCTGTACCTCACTACAGCAGGTCCGTTCCTCTGGATTCAGCCACATAGCATCCATTCTGTGAGGTGGAGGGAGACAAGGCTTGGGTGCAGTAGACGGGCCGTAATCCTGAGCTGGGGGCAGCTACTGCCAGATCCATCAGTGTGCTGAACCAGTGTTGGCGCGGCCACGCTGGGGCGATCATGATGACCCGTGCTCTGTCCCTCTTGGTCTTTGACAGGACCCTACTGATTAGCGGAATCGGTGGGAATGTGTACATCAGGTCCCCTGACCATGACAGGAGAAAAGCGTCGGAGAGGGCGCCTTTGCCAAGGCTCTGCAGGGAGCAGAACTGATGACACTTCCTGTTCCATCTGGTGGCGAATAAGTCCACTTAAGGAGTTCCCCACCTCTGGAAGAGCATCTGGACCACCTCTGGATGGAGCGACCACTCTAGTGAGAGAAGAAGGACCTGCTAAGGCGATTCACCAGCGTATTGTTCATGCCAGGGAGGTGGTAGGCCTCCAGGTGGATCACATGCTGGATGCAGAAGTCCCACAAACAGAGCATCTCTTGGCAGAGAGCTGACAAGCAGATTCCCCCTTGCCTGCAAACGCTGCATCGAGGCCGTGTTGTCCATCAGCACCCGTACCACTTTGTCAGGTGCAGCAGGAAGACCCCAGAGGCCAATCAGACTGCCCTGAGTTCTTTGACGTTTATGTGCAACGCAAGCTCATCTGGGGACCACATCCCTTGGGTCCGCATCTTGCCGAGGTGTGCCCCCCAACCGAGGTTGGAGGCATCGGAAATCAGGGAGACCGAGGGGCATGGATTGTCTAACAGTTCTCCGCGTAAGACCGCGCTCGGTCAATCAACCACCGCAGAGAGGTAAGTACCCTTGGTGGAATCGTGATGACCTTGTCTAGGTGATCTCTGGATGCGGAATAGACTGTTGTGGGCCAATGCTGGAGGGGCCACAGCCTCAGCCTCGCATGGCGAACAACGTAAGTGCACGCTGCCATGTGGCCTAGTAGCTGGAGGCAGACCCGGGCCATGGTGAGAGGGAACATGGAGAGTCTGGCGAGGAGATCCACCATATGCCGGAACCTGTCTTGTGGCAGGAAGGCTCTTGCACAGGTGGAGTCAAGTACTGCTCCGATTAATTCTATCCTCTGTACTGGAACTAATGTTGATTTTTCCTTGTTTATCAACAGGCCCAGGGCGTGGCTTGCAGTACTGTGACATTGGACTGGACCTGGAACCTGGAGTGGCCCTTGACCAGCCAGTCGTTGAGGTATGGATAAACCCGAATACCTTGACGTCTCAGGTAAGCCGCCACCACTGACATACACTTGGTAAACGCCCTCGATGCCATCGCCAGCCCAAACGGGAGCACCACAAACTGGTTGTGACTGAAGCCTATCGTGAAATGGATAAAGCGTCTGTGCCTGTGGAATATCGCTATGGGGAAATATGCATCCTTCAAATCGAGAGCGGTGTACATCTCCTGGATCCAGGGAAGGGACGATGGAGGCCAGGGAGACCATGCGGAACTTCAACTTCTTGAGATATCTGTTGAGGTCTTGCAGGTCCAGAATGGGTCTTGGACCCCCTTTGGCCTTTGGAATCAGAAAGTAATGGGAGTAAACTCCTTGACCCTGTGGTGTATAGGGACTTCCTCCACAGCTCCCACCTGAAAAAGGCTTTGTACCTCTTGCCAAAGCAAGTTCTCGTGAGAGGGGTCCCTGAAAAGAGACAGGGGTGGTTAGAAATAAACTGGAGGACATAACCCTGAGCCACAATACTTAGGACCCATTGGTCCATAGTCATAGAGGCCCAGGCAGGGAGGAAAGGAGACAGGCGGTTAAAGAAACAGTGGGAAGTAGATCTGGACAAATAGGTTTGCCGAAGCAAGGAATGTTCTGTCACTGGCTGTAAGAACGAACTGAGGGTGGGGGGAGCCGGCGGTGCCCCTTATACCATGGCATACGCATGTCACTCCAGAGGGTGCCAGAGCCAGTCCCCTACAGATACAATTGAGGGGGAAACTTCCGGCACCAGTGCATGTGGCGAGCACTCACACCTAACATGAATGGACATGAGCAAGAACTTGAAGAATTAAGGCTAGCAAAAGGCTTAAGAAAACTGCATTTAAGCTTCTAGATATGGAGGTTTAATAATAAAATAATAATGAATAATACTTTGCACTCTAACAGCATCTTCACAAGACTTTGTGAAGTTAAGTGTACCAAAGACAAACTAAAAGGTAATCCATTCACACACACAGACTTGATTAAGATTTTTCTGTTTCCCTTGCAGCAGTTAATGACATGACACCTAAAACTGTGTGGGAGGGGCATTCTTTTCCTCTATTCTCCTTTAAATATTAGTAATACCATCAAATACTGCAGGAGAAACAAAGGACCATAGACCTTGCGTTTGGCAGGTAATTAAAGGATGAAATTATTTTCAACTATTTTTCTCTAGGCTGTATTTCTTTGTAATTTTAACTGCACATATTAGGCCCCATTTTTATAAAGGTTTGAGATCAATGCACATTTTTGTGCACGCAACCGTGCATGCCAATGCCCAATTTGAGAATGCAACTACATACACAAAGCAGTGCAATAAAAGTCACACAAGCAGTTGGCCCTCCAGGCCTTAAAGTTGAATCTGCAAAGGCAAAAAAGTGGGTTTTTGTTCTTTTTTGCTTTGTAAAAGCAGCCTACAAAGGAGTTTTTTGTTTGACTCTAAATTGTTCAGATTGCTTTTTATATTATAAATTCATCCTGGAAGACACTGATGACTGGAGAAAGTACAATGGTGACATCACATACGCTAAGAGTATGAAAATAATTGAGAAGGGAAAGGATTTTTAGTGATAATGGTTTAACTGGTTTTGTTAACATCCACTTAACTTCTGAATAGACTAAACTTTTATTAAAAATTCAGTGCTTCAAGAGGTCACGATAAACATGCTCTGAGACCTCTCACTGGTCCTCTGAGCAAAGTGAGATTTGACATTCCTAATTTTTCTAAGTTATAGGCAATTAAAAACAAAAACAAAAACAAAAAACCACACTCTTCAAGCCTTCTGTATGCATCATAAAGAAGGAAGAAATGGCTAAAGCCCACTTTAAAAAAAAAAAAACGTATATGTCAATCTTTAAATGTATAGGATTTCAGACATTTTAAAAATATTCAGTTTTGTAAAGTTTTCCAGTTCACCTCTAAGTCAATATGACAAAGACAACAGGAAGCTCATCCACTCATGCGGTAACACTTCTACAAACAGGTAAAAGACAGGTTTTGCCTACACAAGCGCTATTCACTCATCTTGCTGTTCAGGTATCCTTCTTTTCACAAAAAGTCCTAAGAAATTTGCTAAAGCCACAGGGCTTTTCAGTGCAAAAACAGGAAGAACTATTCAGGACAATGAAGAAATGAAGCCTTTATTAAATTTCTAACTCCAGGGTCAAAACTTGCAATCCCTCTCTAAATTCAAATAACATTTTCCCGAATTAGACTACAGGATTTGGCCCAGAGAGTTAATTATCGATGTCTATGGACAAACTGGATAAATCCTCAAAAAAATCTTTTAAAAAAAAAAAGAAAAGAAAAAAAAAAAAGTACATTTCACTGTAAACAGAATCATTGAAAAAAGAGCATTTCCCATCCTTATTTTTGTAAATAATTATTTGCTACTGAATAGCAGGCCGAATCCTGTCCCCATACCCCTTACTGACTTCAGTGAGAGTTTTAGATGTGCAAGGAAAAGAAGGATCAGGTCTGCTATTTGTACTATTCAATCGAAGTACACCGTCTACAAGCAATAACTGGGAGGTATAGCCATCCTTTGATGAACAAAAATCTGGGGTTTCACCTCTGAAAAGGATTATAACCCTTCAGCCCTAGATTAAAAAAACCCAACATCAATCCCCAATAAATAAATTGGAACACTATTCTATAAGCAAAAGATAGAGGGTGGCGGAAGGAGATAAATAGTGGACATTTTAAATATACTGCTTACAAAATAACCTTTTCCAGCTTCATTTGTGTAATAAGCTATAATACAATATAGCATATCATTATACTATGTATATTTAGAACTAGATTTTAATCTGAATTATGCAGTACAATACAAAAGGGATAATACACAAGCATACATTTCCTAAAGCGTGTGCTACTCTGGCAAGTAAAAAGGTATGAAATGTGTAGAAGTAAACTACTAACTTACAACAATGCACTAATGTATAAATGAAAGGAATTTTGATTATTATTTTTTAAATAAATTTAAGATGTTGGCTATCTCATTAATCAAATCTGACACAGCCCCAATTTGTAATCTCATTGTCCCTTATTCCCAGTTGCCATAAATCAATTCTACTGAAGGAGTATGATTTATGCAATAAATGACAAGCCCTGATCACAAAGGAATCAGGATTTGGCCTTAGAAGGGTTGGGCTAAAACAACAGTTAAATCAAATACTGCATATCCAAGATGCTCTAATTTTTCATACTAACAAAATATAGCTGTTGCATTTGAAGTGCTGAGATTTTATCCATCTTAGTTCCTTCTTCCATATCTCTATAGGCCCAATTTCCTCTTTTCTGTGTTAGACAATGTGGTGGTAAAAATGCACTATCCATGTCTACAGTACAATTTCCACCATAAATATACTACCAGTGGAGTAGTATACTGGTGAATTATATTTTTGCCAGTGTAAACAAGGCCTAAAGACTTGATCCTGAGAGGTGCTAACAACTACAGCTCTCGGTGAAGTCAGTAGAAGTTCAGCATCTCTGATGATCAGGCCATAAGAATATTATATTTCCAAAATGCCTTCTTAGTTATTATCAGTAAAACTTGGTATTTACCTGTACAATTTCAATGACTGCACATTCCAAAGAACGATGCTACCATCAGCTGCACCGGAAACTAGGTAAGCGGAGTCAGGGGAAAATCGGCAGACTCTTACAGGGCTGCCTCGGGGCTGCTTCAGCACTGCCAGCGTCTGACCATTACGAGTATTCCACAGCATCGTGGTACCATCTGTCGAACATGAAGCTAAAATGTGTCCAGAAGGAGAAAAGCAGCAGCAGTGGACAGCATAAGTGTGACCTTTTAATGGCGAGTAGGGAAGTTCAGTAAAGTTGTTTAAAGAATAGAGGCGGATTGTTTTGTCCAGGGAGCAAGTAGCCAAGCAGGAAGAGGAGAAGGCACAGTAGTTGACATCATCACTGTGATCAGCTAAGGTGTGAATTAGTTTCACCATTTTATCTGCTTTAAACCAAGTTACCTGAAATTAAAAAAAAGTTAATACAGTTAATACATTTATCTTAGTTCTTCTACTTTAAAAGTGACATGGATTGTTTCCATTCAACTAACTACCTAACCAAATAAATAAATAAATGTCCATTTCAAGAGGCAGTTTATTTTTGTTCAAGGTTCATTTTTGCCTCCACTAAAGTCAATGGGAGCTATGCCACTGACTTCAACAAGAACATGATCAGGTCTTTATAAGTTAATTACAGGGTGAAAATTTAAACTTGTGCAGTAAAAACTAAATTTTGAAATACATATAACAGCTGAGTCCAGTCTTTTTTTAAAGAAAAGGAGAGGAAATTAGTTTGAGATTACCCCAAAACTTGTCTTAACATAATTAATTAATGCCCAGAGTGGTTTCATGGTCTCCTTTGCTGACATTCATCTCCTCACTGTGACTGAATCTGCTGCAAACTGGTTTAATAGGGCAAATGGGCATTGTAAAAGAAGCTGATGAATCTAATGATTTATCACACATATGGCATGTTGAGAAGAAACAGTTTTTACTTTATGGAATGAGATCCAAGTTTAAAATCAAGAGACCTTAATTAGGACCACCTTTGGAGTGGGTCAATTTATTTTCCTACACTACTTTTAAATGAAAAAGAGTGGATTAAAATTTATTTTCCATCATAGTAGGGTAGGCCAAATTGCACCAGGTATGATATTAAATCATTTTCTCTAATTTGGAACTCTGTCTGATTCCATACTTCCATAGATGTCTATCATGAAAAGTTGTCCACAAAAAGCCAAATATGGCTCTTTGTTGCACCAGTCAAACTACAGTTCCAGTAAGGTTGCATTTTATATAATAGAGAGCAAAATCCGACCGGACATGTTTTATCACAATAGTTTATTGTCTTGAATAAATTTATTACTGTACTTAATTAATCTGCCTGAAAAAGAGCATAAAAGTCCTGCAAGCTATATTGTGTTAACCTTTTGTAATTTATTTTTTCTTATTTGTATACAATAGTTCCTACAGCAGCAGTGGGCAACCTGTGGCCTGTCAGGGTAATCCGCTGGTGGGCCGCCAGACTGTTTGTTTACATTTGCACAGCCGCCCACAGCTCCCAGTGGCCACGGTTCACCGTTCCCAGCCACTGGGAGCCGCGGGCGGCCGTGCAAATGTAAACAAACAGTCTGGTAGCCAGCCAGCGGATTACCCTGACGGGCCACAGGTTGCCCACCACTGGCCTATAGGCCCCAATTAGGATTAAGGCCTCATTGTGCTAGGTAGTATATAAACAGAGTAAAAGTCAGTCTCTATCCCAATTAATTTACAAACTCACTTAAAGGGAAACAGTAATAAGATCATGAATTTAATTGGCCCATTATGTGTAGAAATAAATGGTTTTGAGGATATTGAGGGAGGGGGGTGTTTTTAATATAAATAAGATAATATATTAGTTGGCTTCTTATGTTTAAGTTTTCTTAGTTCATTGAAAAGATCACATTATGGCCAAATTTTTCAAAAGTGACTAGTGATTTTTAGCACCTCGGTTTTTCTGTTCCCAACTTGAGAGCCTTAAATGAGCCTGATTTTCAGTCACTTTTAAAAATCTTGGTGATATTAATACTGGTGAATTTTACAGATACTCTACCTGTTTCGGATCTCATTTACTGAAGTCACTGATGTTACAGCAGGGTAAATGAGATCAGATTCAGGCCTAGTATGTCCAGAATGCTTTGTAATAAAATGTGAATGAAACATTAAGGGAGTAATACAAAAGATAATGGTTATAAATTCTCAGCATCCATACACTCTTTTTATCCACTATGAACTCAATCACATGAGTTGCTCAGCTACCTCAACTCCCACGGACATCCACGGGAGTGGAGGTTAGTCGTCATATGAAGGATCAGAACCGATGGTGCAGCTGTATCAATATCCTATTACAAAGTGTTTTCTATCATACATCAGCCTCATCTTAGTGGTTAAAACAGTCTTTTTAAAAAAACTAGACTAACACATCCTATCTGGTTTCTCCATACCAACTTTTTACTCTTCTAAAGGATTAGTTTAAAATGATGAGTGAGTAAAGCTCGTAAGGAAGCAGGTATCAAGCCACCTATTGGAAACTACTCTGAGCTTGGAAAAAAATGCATTATTCCAGCAATAAATATCTTGCAAGTCATATAGCATTTATAAAAATATAGCCCATTGAAAAATAGTACCAATGTGTTGGGTCTTTAAATCAGTGCACTTACATCTCTCCAATAAAATATACTGTGTTGTTTGGATGTTATATTTAGTGTTGTTATCCAAAAGAACCAACTCAGGTTGAGCAGAGTCAGGTGAGAGTAAGAACCTCTCCCCTACACAACACCTGCCAACACCAAAGCTCCTGAGGATGCGGGAGCACGAAGCCAGAGATGGCTTTATAGCTCTCAGGCTTCTTGAGCTGTGCATGTTCCAGTGTTGCTCTGTTGCCCTTTTGTTCTGGTTTAACTAGCTCAAAGGAACTTAGGGGTAACCATGATTTCGGCCATTTGTCTGTGAAGTGGTTTGCAAATCTCAAATGTTCTCAGATATCCTCAGGTCAGACCATGACTGAGAAAGCACTAGACTATGCAAAATCTAAAAAGTGGCAAGCTCACCAGAAAACGCCAGACTAGCAGAAAACACACCACGGGTATAATGGGAAATGTAAACAGAGACTGTGGGAATAATGAAGGCAGAAGAAATTGATACAGGTATAGGGTGACCAGATGTCCCGATTTTATAGGGACAGTCCCGATTTTGGGGTCTTTTTTCTTATATAGGCTCCTATTACCCCTCACCCCCGTCCCGATTTTTCACATTTGCTGTCTGGTCACCCTATACAGGTAAAGGGCAGATTTATTTTAGTAGAGCTAAACATTCAAAGCAGTTTGATTTACATTTTGTGCGGGAGTCAGATCCTCTATGCCAGGGGTTCTCAAAATGGGGGTCAGGACCCCTCTGGGGGTCACAAGGTTATTACATGGGGAGTCATGAGCTGTCAGCCTCCACCTCAAAATCTGCTTTGCCTCCAGCATTTATAATAATGTTAAATATATAAAAAAGTGTTTTTAATTTATTGGGGGGGGGGTGTCGCACTCAGAGGCTTGCTATGCAAAAGGGGTCACCAGTAGACAAGTTTGAGAACCACGGCTCTATGCATTGTTAAAGCTACACGGCTAGAGCGGGGGACTGTCATTGGGGCGGGAGGGGAACCACCGCCACCGGGCTGTCTCCTGGCCCAACGCCCTTCCCTGGGCGGCGCTGGCAACTGCAGCTCCCACGGGCTGGTGCCGGTGGGCTGACACCGCCCCGCACCAGAGCGCCGCCTGTCCCAGCGCCGAGCGGTTCCCACTGGCGAGAAGCGCCACACCAGCCCCGTAGCCGGGGGAGGGCGCGCAGAGGAGCCGGGGCCGGGCCCTGCCACGGGACAGCCGCAGGGCCCGGCGCAAGGCCTCAGCGAGCGGGGAGGGCTCCTGCCTTAGCCCCCCAGGGAGGACACCCCAGGCCGGCGGGGGAGGAGCGGCGCGAGAACCCCCGAACCCCGCCCGTATCACCGCCGCCTGCGCGCGCGCGGGACCCCCCCCAGCCGGACCGGAGCGGGGCGCTGCGACCCCTCCCTCACCTGCCTCGGCCGGCCGGGCGCCTCCGGTGCAAGTCACGTGACACGGCACCGCCCTCCCAGGTGTGACTGTGGGGGCGGTAGAGGCCAGGTCCCAACTCACCTGCGCCCACGTGACCCCGCCGCAGGGGTGGGCCGGGGCAGTGACCGAGCCAATGCCACCGCCCCGCGCTGACCACGTGGGCGGAGTCCGTCCTCTCCCAGCTGATTAGCCGAAGCGGCCGCGGTCCCGGCCCCATCCCGGGGCGCACTCCTCGGAGTGGGGCGCGCTGCCTCGTTGGCCCCGCAGGCGGAGCCGGAACCGGAACCGCCCTACTCCAAGAGCCGCCCCCTGTACCGCGGCGGGTCGGTGCCTGCAGGGGTCTGCCCGGCCTGGGTTTAACCGAGTCCTGGGGGCGGCGCTGGCCGGGACACGCCCGCTGGGGCGAAGGTGGAGGAGGTAATAGTGGTTCCTGGCCCAGCGGCTACTGGGGAGAGCGAGAAGGGCTGTGTGGCGCTGGAAAGCTTTTCTCTCGCCAGCTGCAGGTGGCCCAGTAAAAGCTTATTCCCTCACCCATCTTGTCTCTCTAATAGCCTAGGATATATATGGCTACAAGAGCAGGGTGAATGTCATGTCACGTCACATCAGTGTTAAGTCAGAGTTGGTCGGGTGTAGTGTATTAAAGTGTTACTGGTAGCAGTTAGCGATAGGTAATGGATTGTAAGAAACTGCTATTGGGGTAAACTGGTACCTGATGTAGCAAATGCCTAGATAGCAGTTTTTTGCACTATAGTGTATGTGAGATTGCTACGGTTAGAAATCTGCTACCTGGAGCAGTTATTTATATGCATGCTCAGTTTGTGTGACCATACAAAAAAGTCACTTTGCTCAAATAAAAAAGCCTCTCGGCCCCCAAACTATTTTGCCAAGCACCGCTGTTTGAGTCCCACTGTGGTAACTGCTACCCCCTCTGCCCGTGCCAGGGTTTTTCCCTCTGACATCACCTCACTTCTGGGCTTAACTCTGCCTCTTCTCTCTCCCCCCCTTCCTGATTTTGCCCTTTAGCCCCTCTCCTAATGCTGCCCCAGCTGCTTGACCACCTGACCAGTAAATTTCCACCCACTGCTCAGAACCTGGCTACCCCCCTCCTCTGATTTGCCCCCTTTGCCACTTTTTAACCCCTGTCAAAAGCAGTCCCCAGAATCCTATGGCTAGTAAGGGCAGGGTGAAGGGCAGTGACTTCAGCAGACGTACTGAGCATGCTCAGTACACCTTTACTACAGAGAGCACTTTAATACACTACACCTGCCATAAGCATCATAATGATCATATGGCCAGATCCCTTACGTAACAGGTGGGGTATACTTTCACAGCCTAATTCCTGGGTCAAGCTGCCTAACTTGTTTGAATTAGACCATATCATTCAGAAAGACATCCCATCTCTCACTTCTCTTAACTAACTACTGGAAGAGTTTATTATTGGCAAGTTTAAAAATTCATTTCCAGGTTGGATTGGTGTAGCTTGACTGGATCTTGCTTGACCCATACATCCTGTTCAGGATACAGTCTCTTACCTCACATTCTTTATTACTACATATATAATTGCTGCATTTGACTTTGTTAAAATGCATGTTTGATTACACCCATTCTAATCAAGCAATCCAGATAGTGCTAAATGACTTGCCCTTGTTTATCATTCCAGCTACCTTTGTGTGATCTGCAAACTTTAATCTCACTCTGCCATTAGTAAAGTTATGAGGGGCCTAAGGCTAATGGGAGGGAAGGGCCTCAGTATGAATTACATATTGAAAAAAAATTACAAAGTCATCAAATATTTATCTGCATACATATTTATGTAAAATTAAGTTTATTCTACTCTCACTACACTCAATTCTTCAATTCCCCCCCCCTTAATTTAGCTGTGGCAAAGTCATAAATGATGTCATCATAATTCAAAGACCTGATGATTTCAGCCTCAGTGCTCAAGAGGGACAAAGCACTGAGATGCTCTTGAGTCATGGTGCATTGGAGGACATTTTTTAACCTTGTTAGAAGAGAGAAGGAACGTTCTACACTACAGTTAGTGATTAGTGACAAATGCTATAATGCAGTTTCAACATTTGGGAAACATTCTATCACATTGAATTCACTCATAACTCAGTACTTGCAAATAGATTTGCTTTCATCATCTTTTCTCTATCTGAGTGACGTGAATTCAACAAGTTGAAGAAACTCTTTAGTAAAATCTACTGGGAGATTGTCTGGGTACTTCTGACACAGACATTTGATACCTTCATTGACTTTGGAACTTGAAATGTTAGGCAAAAAAATTGTCAGTACATTAAAAGTTTTGTCAATATTTTCCTAAGCCTCGATCCGATATTCTAATGAACTCTTCAGTTTGTCGATGATTGTGATGAAGGTATTCATTCCGAAGGCCTCCTTGTCATTGAATGAGTGGGCAGTTGCATCATCACGTCTTCTGTCTTTTGCGGTGTTTGGCTGACTTATACTCATAGTTAGCAATCCTTGCAGCCCCCTGAATTTCATACTCATCAAAAAGAACAGGAGTACTTGTGGCACCTTAGAGACTAACAAATTTATTTGAGCATAAGCTTTTGTGGGCTACAGCCCACTTTATCAGATGCATAGAATGGAACATATAGTAAGAAGACATATATACATACAGAGAACATGAAAAGGTGGAAGTTGCCATACCAACTCTAAGAGGCTAATTAATTAAGATGAGCTATTATCAGCAGGAGAAAAAAAACTTTTGTAGTGATAACACGGCTGCTACTCTGAATACTCATCAAAACTATCCCACATTTGTTGAAGAACAGTTCCAAGACTCCTCATTAGGTTTACAGCAGTGGAAAGGTCAATTTGAGCATTTTGCAAGCTTAGACCTCACCTGCTGAAGTATATCATTCCAGATGCATTGCATCACTCAGGATATTCATATTTTTTCTTGTTGATGACTTTTGAGATTCATCATCCTTGATGCCCTCTAGCGCTTCAAGGATGTTGGGGTATCCCAGAACAACCACATTCACAGCTTCAATGTTGGCACTCTGTGTCCCTGAGAGTGATTTGGGCACTGGGCATCCCTTTGATAGTGAATCTCTAAGAATCGTCCAACGACTGGTTGATGCAGAGAAAAAAATTGTACAATCCTTGGACAAATCCAAAAAAAGAAACTGCTTCAACACAACAGTCCATAGCAATCTGGCCAACAAGGTTGAGTGAGTGTGCAGCACATGGTATGTAATCAACCAAAGCATTGTGCTCATTTATCTTTGCCTGCATCCCTGAATATTTGCCACTCATATTACTTGCATTGTCATAGCTTTGGCCATGACAATGGCTGACGTCAATTCCACTTTCGGTGAGGAAATCAAGTAGGTACGAGGCAAGTTTATCCCCTGTGGCTGGTGATGTTTATGAAGGTCATGAAATGCTCAACTGGTCAGCTGGGTAGCACATAACGCAAGATGACAGTCAGCTGATCTACATGTGACACCTCCGGTCCTGAGTCAATGTACACTGAAAAAATATCCCAAATCTTTGATCTCATCTACAATGGTTGATAGCATCTTCTTTGCCAGCAATGAATTAATCACAAATAGTCTTTGATAGATATGATGTATGGCTTTTTCTACGATTTGCGTGTTCATTTTGATGCTGAGCTAAGAAAGGATCAAGCTTAGTGATTAGCTCTAGAACACCAGGGTAAATGCCACTGTGTTTCGATCTAACAGTCTCATCTGAGCCACGGAATGGCAGACCACGCTCAGCAAGCAAAACTATGGTTTCAGCTACGCATCTGAGAACCTTTTCCCAAAGAGCACGAGCTTCCAAAAACTGGTTTTCCATTTGGGTATCAATTCTGCCACTAACTTTCTTTCGGGCATGGTAGCTGCTAACTGACAATGCATGCTGCTCACTCACTGCATGATTGGTAATATATGCAGTATTCTTCCAATCACTGAAGCCTTCGCAGAAAATTCCCCACTTTTTGGTATCAGAAAACAGGCGACAATAAAAACAGTACACTTTCTTCTTAGAAGGCAAATAGATGAGCCATTCTCTCTTGCCAATCTGTTTGCTAGGCTTCACATGTTCAAACATTGATTTGGTCAGATAACGATTCTGATTGGTGTACTCTCGCTTTGTCAATGAAAAGTCAGCATCTAGATAGTGGCATTTCTGTGGGCCCTTCTCAGTCCAATATGCAATGAGATCTTGAGAAGTCATGTCCCACTCACCTGGATCGTTCGAGAAGGCTATTTTTGTATTACTATCACTAGGAAAGTCTTCAGAGGAGTGGGGTCAGACTGCAGCTAGAGAAGTCACAGGAGGCTGCTCCTTTTTATCAGGTGCAGGAGCAGCAGGTTCACTTGGGCTGGCATTCGCCTGGACTTCCTCACCACCAGACTTAGTAGGAGGAAAAAACATTAGGAGAGAAGGAGAACCTTTCAGCACTACATCTTTATTTGCCGTCTTTCTTTGGCCGCCTTCAATTTCTGCCATCCTCCTTTCTTCGACACAGTTTCTATTGTCCAGTGTAGGCCTTCTGTGTACAAAGTTCAATATTGCATGGGCCCACAAACACTCACTTAGCCCAAAAAGACAAAATCACAACCACCATAAATTGAATTCACAATCTCGATGGATTAATATGTACAAAGCAATATCTAATGAGACAAAAAATTTCTGATGGCCCCGCTACTGTCACTCAGCTGTTACTTCGATATGGAATGGAGGGCCTACAATAAGGCCTAAAAATTAGGGCCTAAAGTAGGACCTAAAAATAGGAGGGCTTAAGGCTATAGCCTTATTAGCCTATGGGTTAATCCAGAACTGACCAGTGGTGACTTTATATTTTCTTCCAGATCACTGACAAAGATATTGAAAAACATTGGGCCAAGAACAGTTCTCTGGCACTCCACTAGAAACAGCCCTATTTGATGATGACTATACATTAACAATTATGTACTGAATTCTATCACTTAATCAGTTAAGTGCTTTTATAGTTGCCTTGATCCACCAAATCTATAATTGCATCAAAAAACATTGTTTGCTTTTCAGTAAACCTATTTTTAGTAAAACGAAGTGGACTGTCATTACTGATGCTA